ATTGTACAGTAGCATATTGATACCTGGACCTGTGCATACCCCTTCGGGGTTAAAGGCGTGATGTTATGAATTAATCAAACTACCTAACATAAGACACACCTAAATTTTTTAATAAGTAAATTTTTAGATGAGTTCCTATTGAGTAAATTTGTTATAGTCGGTTTTGTTCGGCTTTTGTTAGACACAGCATAATGTTTTATAGCATATATCGTTACTCAATAAATGGACTACGCAAAACAAATATAATATTACAATTCCAACCTGTGGTTCGGAGAAAAGCTCGTTACAACGAACTTTTAACCTTTAAAAAATACTTATCGCTCTGTAAAATATCACGCTACAATTAATAGGAACCACACAGTCGGTATATTAGAATGTTTAATAAATACGTAGGTTATTAATAATACCTGTAGTATTATAGTATACCCTTATAAAAATGTAGTATAAGCAGCTTAAATAACATTTAACTGCCAGTATCACAATAAAAACAGCTAACGAGGTATTTACATTAAAATATATCAATCCCAAAGCCTTTGGAAGGAAACTCGTTTGAAAGTTTTTTCATTACTAGTACACTGTAAACGAGGGCTGAGGTTCAGTAAATGTGCTCAATGCTACCAAAACCACTCTGCATTTAGGCGCTCCAAATAAAATTAGCATTTTTCTCGCGTTAGCTAAAGGGTCGAATACTTTTTCGGGCTGATTCAAAGCTTTGAGCGCACACGCTGCCAGCTGATTATTCAATTGTTTTGATTACAGAATAAGATTTTAGCGTTAATGTGGTAGTTGTCTTATTAATAAAACCAAGGATTCACTATGGGACAAATATCCTGCGACACTTGTCGCCAGGGAAGTTTGGTCGACATGTCTTTTTTTTTTGAGGGGGGAAAATCATCTAGTGTCTTCTCCCGCCCGGGTGAGGCGGGAGGGAGTGTCCGACTCTTACTGACTAAAAACCTCCTCGTTCCTACTCTTGCACTTCGAGCCGGAGCCCCGGCATCAGCGTTTTCGGCATCAGCCCTTTTGGGCCCAATCTGTGGTGATCTGATGGCTCCTTGAGGCGCTCGGATCGCGACGCACCGTACACTCGGGCCTGGTTCTGGTCGGGCGGCGAGTCATCCATGTTGGTCCACATGTCTGGCAACATAAACATCGCTGTTATAATATGTTTTCGCTTGACATGTCGCCAATACAATACATGTCGTGGGAAATTTATCCCCTATTATATACTTGGCTTAAGTTGTTTTTACAATCTTTGATTTTACTTATAATTTGTAGGTATGTAGGTACGTAGGTGAACAATAATAATTGTACATAGATATTAATATGTACAATTATTATTGTTCACCTACGTACCTACATATATAACGACGTGTATATGTAGGTACGTAGGTGAAGTGAAATATTGCGACTAAATTTTGAAGCAACAGATATCTTCAACTGATTGAAGTAAATTTTTTATACAAGATTAGTTATGCACCGTAAATACTTTTGCTTTAAAATTATTTAAAAAGTGATCGTGAGGTTAGATATACCTAAGTATCGCGTGTTTATATTATTATTGGTTGACGTTTGATTTTCAAGTCTATCCAAAAAGAAATTATAATTATTACAATAATATTATGTAGGTTTTTTTTATAAATGAAGGGATAATTTACATTCCTTCGTAGTTAATAAAGTTGGATTCAACTACTAGGTACTTAGGCAAGTAGGTAAATACTTCTTGTTACATGAAGGTATGAAAATAATCTAGCCTAAGAAGGTTATATACATCAAAACTTCAAGACTTCAAAGCAGAAATAAATGAAACTCATATTATATTCCCAAAATTATCTTAATTAGTATTTAAGGTGTATTTTGCTAATACAAATACATTCGTTACACGTGGCAAAATGCTACTGGGTATTGATTACTAGCCAGGTACTACCACTACTTGGTTCCTTTTGTAACGTGATGTTTTATAGTCTTCCTCGACAAATGGATTATCGAACCAGTACTACCGGAGATGTTCCTTTTATATTTCCGATCACAAAATAAACTGAGAAATCGCAATGA